ATGCTAAAAATTGTCAAAACATTCTGGTGTCTGAGACAGAGTGTCTTCGAATTGCGATGTAATGTAAACAGAAATTATAGCAAGTTGATGTCAGTCAGCTTAGATGGTCCAAGCCAAAATTATATCGCATTTGAAGTTTCAAACTGAGTTAAAAATAGTGGAAGAAAAGCCGTAATTATACTTATTGTTACAATCCATTTAATAAAATGCAACATTTTTTTGTTTTAATGAAAAAATCAGTTATTTTCATGAGAACGATTTGTTATTCCATCTCAATTTTTTAATCTCCAATCGCAATAACGTAAAGTATTATTAGCCGCGAACCAATGAGTCAAATTTAAGAAACAACCCACTGTTAGAAAGCTGAATGGCTACGCTTTAAAATGAATGTAAACTTTAACGTTTTCGTCTATTACTTGTTTAGCAATTTACATTTCAGACGAGGATTGCGCTTTTTTTGATATACCCTGTATAGTCAAGTGGCATATACGCTGTGGTGTGTACAGGAAACTTACTGTAATGTACAGCTGTGGAAGCAACCATGTCACAGTTTTGAGTGTTTTTCTCCGATCCAACGGCGCAAAGCGGCGTTCCGTGCGTTCAGCTGGTTTTAATTCCACCAGCGGAATTTTCCTTTGTCTTTTCTAACTAGTTTCAACCGAGAAATCACAAGGTAAAGAACAATTTTCGGCTCCGCGTGCAAAAACAGCCTGGTGGAAAACCGTCTTTAGCCCGGGGCGAGGGTATATTAATTTCGGCTCGGTTTCCTAAATTAATCTGTTTAATTAAAAAAAATTAAAGTGAAAAGGAGAGCAAATTAATTTGAAAATTGAACTAAACTTATTCAACAATTTGGTTGCTGCATGCATGTATTTCTATAATAGTAGAATAAATTATTTTAGATCACATTTTCCATGCAAGGGCCACTTCCTTCGCTCGATTGTGGTTTTAATTGTTGTTGTTCGACCATCATTCGATGCGTTGATATTACTGAGTTTTGTTAAAGTGATTTAGTAAAATATACGATTGTGAAGATTTCTCACATGTTAATTGCGAACTCTTTCATCAAATATGTATTTAAAAATGATTAAATAGTGTGCAAAATACGAGGAATTAATTAAGTTTTATAAACGCAAACGTGGAGAGTGCGTGTGCGCGGGCTTATCTCGTGACTGAATTCTAGAAACAAACAACAAATTTGCCTAACCCACTCATATTATGAATTCATTTTCTTCTACTGTTTGTACGTTCAGAATTCTAGGCATTTCCAACTTAGAAGTGTTTGGTTTGTAAGAACGTGGATGTAGAAATAAAAAGGTTGCTGCAGCAGTTCAATTTTGTCGTACACACTGCAGGGCCGTAGCTAGACGCGATAATTGGGGAGAAGGGTGTATTTATCACTTATTTACTGAGACCGAGGGAAACAGTGTGTTTTGTGGACCCGAGACCGTCGACGGTCGAGGGTCCACAAAACACACTGATTTCCCGAGGTCTCAGTAAATAAGTGTTTTATTATATATCAATAGTCAAAGAAACAACAAATTAAAGAACAAATGAACGTACGTAAATGCATGAAATATTTTATTGTTAAAACGTTAAATTTAATAAACACAGTTGCTTAAAAGCGAAAGTTTATAAAGTGATCAAATGTTTAATAAAAAGCATGCAATTTATTTGAAAAAGTAAACAACACTCTAAACAACAGTCATTAACAGTCATTCAAGGATAGAGAAACTACTTGCTATTAAAATTAAAGGTTACATTGCAATTATTGAATGCACCACTTGCAAACGTGACATTCTTAAGAGTGTTTGTTTGTGTTGCGTGAAGAACCGGTGAGCCAGGCAACGAATGGTAGAGGAGAGAAGCATATTGTATTTTCGTACTGGCTGGACGTCAGTTCTAGCCGGGTTTCTGAAGGTGAAGACAAGGTTGTCTCTTCAATTTCAGAAGGAAATCCACACGCCTGACCAAGTGTTTCGGAAATTTCTCTTTGCTTGTTTTCTGAAAGGCGACGTGAGTAACTTCTGATGCTCGCTTCTGATTTATGACCAGAATGTGCCTGGCTTCGAAGTTGGAGTAGTCTAGGACGGCCGTTATAGCCGTCGCTCGTATGCTGTGGTTTGTGTACTCTTTGGACAGGTCGGCTGCTCTTGAAATATTTTTCATGAAGTTGCCAAGGGTATTCTTTCCGACCGGTACGTTACAGTACCAGCAGATGTCAGCTGTTGCTTCCTTCGGTCGTTGCCAAAGGCATTTTAACTCGGGATGAAGCTTCGAAAGATACAACTCAAATGACTTGGCTGGACATAGTGCACCTGGTTGCTCGTACATTCTTCTATCTGTTGTGGAATCTTGGGGGTCGTCATTTTCTCGGTGATTTTTATCGAGCTCGTCGACAGCCTGGTAAACGTATCTTCTATTCTGCAAGTCAATAGTTACCGCGAACGTGTCTTTTGTTTGTTCTCGCACGTTTTCTCGTCCTCTTCTGACCAGATGAAACATTATATCAAACATACATTTTGCTGCAGTCCTTTAGGAGTGTTTAAATCGAAGCTTAAGTACAGCTTTTGTAAGTCGTCCGGCGTAATTTCTGGATGGTGGTCAACTTTAGCCATGCCATTTCGTTTCAGTTCAACGAGTAATGCAGAAAATACTTTGTTTGACGAACCGAAGGATACATCCTCCACGATGTTTACTTTCTTTTCATTCATTAAATATCGTGCAAGCCCATATCGTATTGAGTTCATAGTGCTTTTACTGTACAGTGTTCAGTCTTTTTTTCTTGCATTAGCATAAAAGTGTTTAAGTAGGTTGTCAAGTTCTACTTTGTTTATATTTTCAAACTCCGTAGGAAGTTCTTTTTCGGCACAATATTCTCTTAGTATTTCCACAGCTTGTTTAGTTGCCTTTTTTGTTGACTTTGAGTCCTTGTCTGCCAGCATTGACTCGATATCGACGTCATTTTTGCTGGCAAACCTTTCCATATTCGCTTTTTTATAAATAATTTGAAAATATAAAAATAGCTAACAAATCGCGCGCTTTTAGGCATGTTCAAAGGTCGCATCTTTACGTGATGGCGCACGTGATTTTTTTTGTTATTCGCCGGTCGATAACGTATTATCTCCCTCTCGCGCTGTTGCGAGGGAGACAGTCTAATTTCGTCACTCTCACGTGATATGCTATCGACCAATAAAACACTAGAAAAATGCGACTTTGACTATTGATATATAATAAATGCATTTATTCATTGTTCACATGCTGTAAAAACATCGCTTTCAAAAGAAATCCGTCTATCTACGGCCCTGCGTGTCGGTCTATCTATCGCGGGCAGACGGTCTATCTATCGGTCTATCTACGGCCCTGCGTGCACATACCTATTTTATATGTATACGTTTTTTGGACAGAGAGAAATATACATGCATTTTGACCTTTATTTTACGTGTTTTTAGCGAGGTAATTTAGCCTTTAAATCAACCTGGAAAAACAGTGTTGAAGAAGGCAGATTTTTTGCTATTTGAGATTCATTACAAGATAGTGTAATAGTTGGGTACAAAATAACATCTTATAACAAACATACTTGCAGGCAGGGCCGTAGCGAGGGGGGGTATTGGGGGGGTGGTTAACCCCTAAATGCTAGCTACGGCACTGCTTGCAGGTTCGGTGAGTCCGGGATTGGACGCACCTCGGGTGGCTGGAAGTTTCCCGAACCCACCTCGCAAAGTTTGGTTTTTATCACATGTCATTTCGGTAAAAAGTACTAAAGAATTTACGTATTTTAGTATATAATTTCTTGTTTGGATTACGAACATTTTAGCCGTCAACATCCTGCGCAAACAAACAAACTTAGGCTTAAATTAAAGCTAAAACAATTCTCTACAATATTCCCTTATTCTTGAAAAGAGAAATTGCACACATTCTGCGAAAACATTGCCAATATGTATATAAACCTGCCCGTACCGAACAAATTTCTGCGGCCATCTTTCTTCTCTTCCACTTTGAATACAGAATTAATATTCCATTTTCATCAAACAAAATACCAAAAAAAAATTATATAACAATTAAAAAGAGTGAATTTATTTTTGATTTAAATCTTCGTCAGAAATTTGTTCAAATCGCTTCATAATGGCCGCCGCGGAAACATCGATTTCGAACCCACCTCCTAAACATACGTCAACAGGTGGGTTCGAGATTGAACGCACCTCCTCGTAGCCAATTATAGGAAAGCCGCTAATACGTTAGGTATGAGATAATACACCGAGTTCAAAATTTTTTTATTGAAACAAATTTCGATTATAAATAAAAAAAAACTGTTGAAAAGACGGATTTTGAGAAATATGTAATAGTTTGACCACAAATTTGTTTACCGTATTTTTTGCACTTTAATAGCACCTTTAAAAACTGTTAAGTATCTATCAAAATGTCGTAAGGCGTGATTCGATGATAAATTCCATGCTTACGTGGCACAAACATAGCTTTCTGATTGGACTCTTTGAATTTGAAGTATAATATTAGTATATAAGTTATATGTTATTTACTGGCTGCAAGGTCCATACTGAAAAAATATTTTTCCAATATATACTTATAAACTCAATTTAAAAAAAATTTTGTTCAGCAAAAAAATTAGTATGAATAACTAACATAGCCAGAAATCTCACAGGCCTGTCGCAAGCTGTTGGTTTTACCGGCTTGCGGCAAGTTGTCAACAAGTCGCGACAGGTCTGTTGGTTTCGTCAAGCGGTAACAGGCTTGCGGGAACAGGTCTGTCGCAAGCTGTTGACATGCACTAACAAGAGATAACAGGTCTGATAGAACAACTTGCAGCAAGTCTGTTGAAATCAACAGGTCTGTTCCAACTTGTTCCAACAGACCTGTCGCGAGTTGTTTTTGTCAAGTCTGCAGCAAGGTTGTTATCAGACCTGCGACAAACTTGTCCACAACAAACAATTTTTGTCCTGTCACAACAAGTTTCAACAAGCCTGTTGTTGGTAAACAAATCGAAAATGTGAGTATAGAGAAAAATCGCACGAAATGAACACTTCCGGCTTCACTTTATCATTCAATCATTGTCATTGGTGGCAATATTAAATCACATAGGAGAGACTATAGTCTATAGTATCTATTCTCTGATTAAATGCAAAAGCCGCTGTTTTATTTTTAAAAAATAATTCCGATTTCCAAAATCCAAATTCCAATTTGCTGACGTGTGTTATCGCTATATTTCTTTAATCTGATTGGATAAAGGCGTGTGCACACGTCATCATTCCTCGTTGCAATTGGACGAAATATTACAAGCATATCAATCACGTAATCATGTTTAGTTGGTTTTGAATTTTGAGCCAAACAAAATTTCGACAACTGCCTCAAACAAAATCAAACAAGTACAAAGCTGTTTTGAATTTTGAAGAAACTGTGGCAATGAGAATACAAGATCTAGAGCTTAAGAAATGAAAAATACATGAGCAACCGAGTGTTCACTGCAACGTTCTTCATTGTTGATATGAATATGAAATTCGTTATATAATTTCTTTCCAATTTCAAATGAAATCTGCGAGCGAGGAAGACGCCTTATTGAAGCTTTGTGTTATTGTATGTATGTACTATTTTGAAGAAAAATATGCAAGTAGGTTGTCATATTTTGGTCGTACTTAAAGACCAATTAATTTTGAAAATTGTTTACGATAAGAACCTTTCTTGAATTTGTCGTATTTTTTCGGCTGTTTTGCTCAAAAACTATCTCGCAAGTTTGTTTATAAGTGTTTATATGAAAGTCTGGCTATTTCACGAAACACTACAACGAAAATATGGCAACCTGTTTGTCCGTTTTTTGTTCAAAATATAGTGTATACACAAGCTTCATAAGGCGCTTCCCTCGGTTTGCAACAGCCTAACAGGTCTGTCGCAAGTTGCTGAAAACAGCATTCCTGCAGCTCTGTGTCAACAACTTGCGACAGGCCTGTTGAAAACAGCATTGCTGCAGCTCTGTCACAACAACTTGCGACAGGACTGTTGAAAACAGCATTGCTGCAGCTCTGTCACAACAGCTTGTAACAGACCTGTTGACAGGCCGTTGCGGACCTGTCAGAACAGACAGGTACAAGGCGAGCGAACGCATCCAGATATCGGCTTGTTGACAACAGGTTTTAACAGATCTGTTGCAAATCTGTTCCGACTTGCGCGAAATTGGCTGTGTATCGGTAAAAAAAATTTCGGTTTTATTTTTTATTTAAATCTTTGTCTGAAATTTGTTCAAATCACTTCATAATGGCCGCCGCCGAAAACTGACATCGATCTCGAACCCCCCACCCCGTCCTAAACATACGTCAGATGAGATAGAAGTCATATCACTCGGATGATTTGATTCACGTAAAAGGCCACGCAAACAAGATGGTTGAGTTTTAAACTTCGAAGAAAGCTGTTTATTTTGAAAATTTTGAAGCAAATTTTGAAAATTGTAATCATCAATATTAATTCAAAACGAGATGTGTTTTGAAAGAAAAGTGATAAATACTTGCCTTAATGTGGCAAGTTTTATATTCTCAACTTGGCGGCTTATATATAAAAATTACCCTCGGAACAAAGTCCTTCGGGAAATATCATCACTTCAGATAATATTTCGCCGAATTCCCAGAGCAGAGGGTCTATAAATGATAGTAGTAGAAATCATTGTATGATATAAAATTTGGGAACCATCGATGTAATTTTCCTGTTAAATTATCACTTTAAATCCTAAATATCCGCCATCTTAAAACGTCTTGTTGCCATAATAGCAACTTGTGATTTCTTTCAAACTGTATTGAGCCAATTAACGAACCAATGAATGAGCAAGCGAGGAACGAATGAATGTATTGTTAACTTATAATCCCTCATGCACTTTATGGCATTTTGAGGTGAGTTTTCTGAAACTAAAAATATATGTGTACTTCAAATATCAAATCAGAAACTAGAAGGAAGAAACTTACAAAATATTAGTAAGAACCTTTCAGTGGCAAACCCGCCTGTACGATTTTAGCAGCCCCACCCATCTAAAAACGCTTTCTACGGAACTGTATGATAAGGGTTAAACTAAGTAAGGTACAAAAATTATAGAAGTAGTTTAATAATGGTGAGAATAATAAAGGTAAGTAGTAACACACAACTTTGAAGGCCGATGAAGACAGCTATAATCTACTAAGTAATCCATCTAGATCAACGGTTTATTATATGGACAATGGTGTTTACTGGAAACTAAAATACTCGTAGAACTCATACGTCACTACATCCGGGGCCAGGTGCGCGTATTTTCCGTATTTCACCCCTGCTAGTGACATACGAAGTTCTGAAAATTTCCCGCCATTTTCATTGTTGTTGTTTTGAAAATACAAATGGTCTTTGGTGCGTATATAAATTGAAATTCAACGCTGGAAATAAAACGAAAACATTCAAAAGACATCTTGAGATAAGTCTATTTATGTTTGTTTGCTATAATTAAAAAATATCGCTTTTATACTGGTCTTTCGCGTGCTTATTTACATGTCGTCTTTGTGTGTATTTTTGTCACTCTGAATAGTCCATATAATAAACAGAACATTAAACGGTTGCGAGAAGATATGGATTTATGTTCTCGTGTCAAAAACAATATCTCACTCGTTCGCTGCGCTCACTTGTGATATATTGTTTTTGCCACTCGAACATAAAATCCATATCTCTTCGCAACCGTCTAATATCCTCTATA